ATTTCAGAGTTTTATTTATATTTAAGCATTTAATTAAACTAACATATGGTTTTAGTTAACTATAATAACCCTGCATAATCCTTATATAAATTGTATTCATTATTGGTAAAAATGAATATACCAGATTTGGCTTTAGATGACCAAACCACACAAAGCTTAATTCACAATGAAGCTGACAGTGGTGTAACTTCAAAAAACATTGTTTTATTGAAGTATAACTTCATAATTGATGTTTCTAGCATGCAAACTCAAGTGAGACTGTATATACCACTGCAAATCGTGAGTGCACAGTATACAATACCTGTTGATGCATCTCTCGCTGTATAATTATGAAGAACTCTTCGTGGGAGAGCTGAATCAGACAGCACTGTGCTAAGGGTCTGCAGAGGGGAAAAAAAATAGTACTAAAAATTTGCCAAGTCCATTGGTCTTATGGGTTGTAGTGGCAACAGTACCATGTCTAGCCACTAAGCCATGTTGGTGAACCTGTCTTGGCGCACCTTCACATGGTTTTGCCACTGCACACATTTGGGAGTGGAGCTTTCAGAGGCTGTAGCATTTGTGTAAACTCCACAAAGACAGCTTTGTCAGCACAGAGAGTGTATCTCAGTATTTGTGTGTGTGTGTGTGTGTGTGTGTGTGTGTGTGTGTGAGTGTGAGTGTGAGTGTGTGTGTGTGTGTGTGTGGTTACTCCACTCTGTCCCTTGTCGCTTTCTCTTAAGTATACGCACCTCTTCACGGAAGAGATCCCGTTTCTGCCGCAGTGCATTAACCCTCCTTTTAAAAAGTGGCACAAAGAGAGCAGTATTAAAAGTGCGGTGACTGTGAGACTAAAGGTTCAGAAACACTTAAGATGCCATACAGACACAGTCACGCTGATGGACTGCATAATTCTCAAGGAACTGGTTTAATGGTTACTTCAAAACATTAGACCAAACACTTAACATCTTATCAGTGGTTGCATGTAGAACCTGACACTGTCTCTCTGCACAAAATCTCCTTGTAATAGCGGATGTTTGATAGGGTTCACCAGTTTTTAACGGTACTATCAAACTGCAATCTATGCTCAACATGTTTAAAAATCTAAAACCATTATGATCACACACCTAGCCATCACCATCAGAACAAGAGTTGGATACGAAGAAAACCACATACCTGGGTAGTTTATTTTCTGAGTTTGTTTCCTGGCAAATAAATCCTGTCAGAAGAAACATGATATAAACAATTGCATATTTCTGAACTTATCTTATCAAGTTCTGTCTATAAATGTAAGATCAAAACAAAACTTTATTTATGTATTTATTTGAGTAAATTCTCGCATAACTACATTGGAGAGCTGCTCTATGAAAAACAGTATGCTTACACTTAAAAAGTTTTTCAAGGCTTAAGATAGATTTACATAATAATTCACAGATTACATAAATGGCATCCAAAATAGCAAACTTCCCATACAAATTTGTACCATAGTAAACTTTTTTTTTTCTCAAATTATAAATTAATTTGGGATCTCCTTTAATAAGCGTATGAAGCGTTCAGAATCTTTTTGTTAACACAATATTTGCACAATCTTACTGCAGCATAGGAATAAATAAATATGGTATTTGAAGAAAACTATGGTTACTATATTACAGTTTTATACGGGCCAACTGCAGCGGGTACATTAATAATTTGCAAAAATGGTTCAAAATTTAAATGATACTTACCTTGCAGAACAAATAGCTTGAAAATGAAAAGTGCACAGAGTGAAAACAGTTGAATGTCCCGCTGTTCGTTCATCTCAGAGCGACGGGGGTCCTTCATCGATCATGAAATGACGAGTTTCATTTTAGGAGGATGGATTGAAATTCTCCTTCAGATAAAGATTCTCATAGAATTTGTCAAGTTAAAATATCTGAGGTACGACTAGCAAACTAATGTGATTTGTCCCAGAGCAGTGAAGGATAAACGTCCATCTTCTGTGCAGTCAGAGGAGGATGATGTACCTGAGCGCACCTGCGGCACGAGGAGGACGGAGCGCACCTGCGCGCGAGCACTCATCCACCTGACCTACGGTATATAGATCTGATGATATTCCAGTCGCAGCAGACTCTGAACACAAGTTTACTTTAACTTTACAATGGATTAGACAGTCAATGGATGTGATTAGTATTTTTCATGAGGATATTGTCTTGCTCAGTGTCACAATGGTGATGAATCACCGGAGGCAAGTATTAAATCTACACATTTTCACATAGCTAAAGGTGAAACCATTGCGCTACATCCTTGCAAAATCGTTCAGTGACATTCAAGGGGGAGGAGGGGGTTTCGATCTCGAGCCTTGTCCAACCGTAGTTCCCCTTTTTTGTTATACGCTTGCGATATAGAAATATAGAAATATGATAGTAGCTACTTAGGCCTAAAGTTACATTTCACAGCAAGCTCTCGTTCCCGAACGTCTATTTACTGCGCTAAACTAATCTAAATGTTGTGGTTATGAAATCAATAATACTAATTACTAAATGATTTTCAAACGCTCGACGTTTAAGGAAAATTCTGTCAGTCCAAATGACTTTTGTGCCCATCTAATTGATTATTTACTTAAATGTATACACTTTGGATATTGTGAACTCATTTATTCAAGAATTCCTGATCAAAATATAGCCTATTTCACGCTATTCAAAAATCAATAGAGCGCACTCATTCACTAAACAGGACTTAAAGGGATCGTTCACCCAAAAATTTAAATGTGATGTTTATCTGCTTACCCCCAGGGCATCCAAGATGTAGGACGCATCACGCACCGGATGCCGTGCGCGCGCTCAAAGACAGTTGGACATAGTGGCGGATCAGAGGGAAAAAATGATATAAATACTGTCCGGTTTCTCGCACAAACTGATCGTTTCGTGTCTTAGGACATCAATGTGTCGTCACGAGCCGCAGGGTTTAATTTGGATTTGTCTGTGCATGTTTTTTTTACTCTCATAGATTTTGTTACCATTGCCATGCATTATACGACTGATAGACTGCAACGGCTGGAGTTAAAAATCATCAAATGTGTTCTACTGAAGAAACAAAGTCACCTTCATCTTGGATGCCCCGGGGGTAAGCAGATAAACATCAAATGTTCATTCTTGGGTGAACTATCCCTTTAAACAAGCAGGTGCAAATGTTGACTCAATATGACCCATCAATCTTTCAGAAAACAGATCGGCTAGATAGTTCAAATGTCAGAATAAGTTTTATCATCCTGTCTCTGCATTACATGAATGCTGTGATAAAACGTGTAGGCCGACTTAAGTAAAAATCGCAATTTCTTTAGCTATGGCTACAAATTGATCAAAAATCTGTTTACTTCCTTTTAGTGTGACTTAATTAGGGAATAGTGCTATTTAAAAATATTTGTAATTTTTAATAATAAATGCTTGTTAGCATACATATGTAGGCCTATAATTGTATAATCTCATATATAATTGAGACTACATGGATTATTTGAACTAAAAGGACTTGTTGTGTGAATTTCACAAAAGTAAGATGTGATTAAAATAGCACCTAGTTACAAATATACACTTTATCATATACACATACATAATGTTAACACAAAAGTTTGATGTTGTTGCCTAAAAAGTCCGTGTTATTTGTCAACTATACGGTTATAGATATAGGACAAAATATTCACTATAGAATACATTTTCCCTCCAACGCTAACACACACACACACACACACACACACACACACACACACACACACACATCAAAGCACCGCTTTGGCGCGCCTAGGCCATTCGAATAATGACATCATCAAGGCGCGCCGGCGTCCTTTAATGTTTGCGTGCGGGGGAATAATGGCGATGTGCACAATATTACGATGTGCTTCTGTTAGTTTGACTTCTTCTCTGCCTCGACTGTCAAACAGAAACGCTCGGACTCCAGCTAGACTGCTCGCGAGGACATGCTATAAAAGAGCCCTGAGCACCACCACTCGATTTTGCGCAGGTATTCACACTTATGAATGTTTGCAGGCGACTCGCGTGAAAGTTTAGATCCGTCTGTTTGTGCACTTATGCTGCAGTCATTCACATGCTATGGTAGTGATAAACTCAGAATGAATGAACTATATTACATGCACGTTTAAACGCATCTTTACGTGCAGTTATAATTCTTGTTGCTCTACACCTTTATCCGCCTGGTTTCTCTGTCATTCTGCAGCACTGAAGTTCACAGACAAACACGAGTGGGTTCGCGTGGACAGTGGTGTGGCAACAGTGGGCATCAGTAATTTTGCACAGGTTAGACTGGTTATTAAGACTTAATTGTCATAGGAAGAGGTGTTTTTTGGACAATCTAGGATGTATTGTCATGTGTTTATAATGTAATGTTCCCAGGAGGCACTGGGGGACGTGGTCTACTGTGGGCTTCCTGAAGTTGGCACAAAGTTGGCACAGTCTGGTAACTACTCTTGCTCTGGAGAATACTGCTTTTGAAAAACTTGTTCTGTAAAGTAGGATACAGTTATATCTTACAAAATACAGTGATTTGTTGTAAATCAAGCAATCAATTATTATTTTGTTTATGTATTGTTATCTGTACCGTAGATGAATTTGGTGCTCTGGAGAGTGTTAAAGCAGCGAGTGAGTTGTACTCTCCTCTGACGGGGGAGGTGACAGATGTCAATGACGCCTTGGCGGACAACCCAGGACTTGTCAACAAATCTTGCTATAAAGATGGTGAGACATTACAATCTCATTTGGACTCAAACTAGCCTGGGATCTTTCAACTTAAAGGAATAGTTCACCCAAATATGAAGATGAACCCACCCTCAAGCCATCCAAGATTTAGATGAGCTTGTTTCTTCATCAGAACAGATTTGGAGAAATTTAGCATTACGTCACTTGTCAGAATGAGAGTCCAAACAGCTGATAAAAGCATCACAGTTATCACCATCAGTCTTGTGAAGTGAAAAGCTGCGTGTTTGTAAGAAACAAATCCATCATTAAGATGTTCTAATTTTAAATAAAAAATACGATTTAATACGCTCCTCCAGTGAAACAGTCCGTCAACTGTTGTCCTCTCACATCAAAATGCAAAGGTGTATATTTTTCTCCTGATTCAGACGAGATTACTTTTTTTTTTTTTTTTTTTGGTCTTGATAGATTTGTTTCTTACAAACATGAAGCTTTTCGATTCACAGGAATGTTAACTGATGGACTGGAGTCTTGTGGATTACTGTGATGTTTTTATCAGCTGTTTGGACTCTCATTCTGACGGCACCCATTCACTGCAGAGGATCCACTGGTGAGCAAGTGATAGAATGCTATTTCTCCAAATCTGTTCTGATGAAGAAACAAACATATGTACATCTTGGATGGCCTCTTGGAAAAAATGTACATTTTGTCATCAGTAAGTGTTTTGTTCACAGGCTGGCTGATAAAGATGACTGTATATATTCCTGAGGAATTGGATGGACTGATGGAGGAAGCTGCTTATGAGAGATACATCAAATCTATAGAGGACTAGAGCGTGCTGCTGGCATGTTGCATATGGGGGAGAATTTAAAAACAATCAATTAAGGAATGTTTATAGTAGTTGATTTAGTTTAGATGTTCTCTTAAATTACATTTTCCCATCCACCCACACCCAGCCACAGAAGGGGACCACATGGACACAACATTATGCACTTCGCTTGGAAAGCAACAAGCAAACCCGATTGGATTGAGCCAGTTACTGTATGTAGCCACAGAGAGACAGACTATGTAACAGTTTCATCTCTTTTGTAGATGTTACACTGTTCCTCTAAAAGCTTGTCATTGCTTGGAATAAGCTACAAATAAAATGTGGAAGGGTGAATAACACCAAATGTCCATTCTGAGGACAGCTGTGAAACCTGGTGAAATCGGTCTTGGTTTTAAAGAACTCATAACTGAGTTAGTGATTAACATCAATTAACAACATTAAACATCTAAACACTTACCTGCTTTAAATGGTTTTATTGCATTAGAAATCTTGCTTTTTGATGCCAAATGTGCCTCTGACGGAGATCTAATTTACAAAATAAAGAGCCCAATGTCTGCAAATGAATTATTTTAAGTAGTATTGTTTTATAAAAAGCCTATAATGAAAACAAATCTTAAGTCATAACTTATCAAACGGTTTTCAGTACCATGATGGATGTGTTTGTACAGGATAAGAAAATTGCTCATGCTGTATTTATATAGTCAACATGAAATCAAAATGGACCATACTTGCTTCCAGGTCAAAATTATGTCAAAAGTCAGATGTAATAAAAGAAGAAAATTTTTTTGGACTGTCATATATACCAGGGTAAAAACCTTAAGTCTGATAACTTGGAGAAGTAATGATTCACTATATAAACACATGAGCTATACTAATAGTCCATCTAAATAGGCCATTTATATTGAATTATTTACTAAAGTTTTAAAAAGTCAATATCAAACATATTTGATATCTTCAGACTAGATGTAATTAAAGTCTGAAGCTAAAAAAATCTGAGTCTGTGCTCATAATACACTACATGAATATGTGTGAAATCAACTCTGAAAATCTGCAGACTGGCTGACTGGTGTCGGCTTAAAGTTGTGTAGTGTATTCCAGCCCTAACATGTCAGTCTGTTATCTGTGGGGAACAGCGACACCTCCAGGCACTTTGCTGTAAGGGTCTCTGGTTGGGGTACGTCTGGCCCTGCCGCGTGAGACTATGGGTTGAGGCAGACCCTCCAGAAGACACCAGTCCCTCTCTAACCTCTCTCTACGCTGTGTGTTCTCACACATCACGCTGGCTGTGAAGTCTCTCTCATTTAGGAAGGCAATGGTTTCGTCCCGTTTGCGGCTGACGTAGCCCTTCAGCACAGCGCTGTATGGGTTATCTTGCCTGTCTGGATCCTCTGACTGGTGTTTAAACTCCATGCGGGTGATGACTGGGAGGAGAAACCCGGTTCCTTCACGACTCACAACATCCTCCATACTGCCCAGAGCTTCCTGCACCAGCCTTGCAGGAACAGGTACCAGGTCACAGCCTGATCGCTGGTCAACAAACTCCCTAAAGCGCCTTCTCACCGACGCAACATCCTGTAGAGACTGTGCACGTCGCTCCTCAAGGTCAACAACAATCCGCTCTGGGTAGTTGCCACCTAAAACCACACCTGTGAACAGAATGTGAGAATAGTATATATATGATTTAGTATAAATGTGATTTAACCTAGGAAAAGAAAATGTATGGGACTTGATATTATTGGGAATACTGGTGGACAATATAACCAAAATCCTATATTGCGATATGAGTAATGTTATTTCACGATAAAGTTATTTTTGCTGTATACTGCCCAGCCCTAAATTGGAAATTGACCAGATTGAAGGCATTTGTGTTTTCTACAATCAGCATTATTGATGGATTACGGTGCATTTTCAGCTATTTGACCACTATTATATATATATATATAAAATCACTAAACAAAGCATTATGAATAACTGTGATAATCGTGAACAGATTATATAGTATAACAGACCTGCTCTACGCAGCATTGACGCTGGGCATTTCCAGGGCTTATGGATAAGGTCATTAGGAAGTGCCTTCAGTTCAGGACACCACTGCCGCACATAGGTGCCATAGGGGTCACAGGTCAGCGCTGCATCAACAGGGTGCATGACGAAGTTCCAGTGATCCAGTCCACACATTCCTCCATTCTGCCACATCATGGCATCTATGGCAACATCAGCGTCTACCAGTGTGTCCTGCAAAATGGAGAAAGAGTGGTGAGATGCTGTGTTGAATGGTCATTTCTGCTAAAGTTGACACATTCTCTATCAACAAACCAGAAACCTAGTGCATGAGTGCTGAACTCGCTGGCACAATGCACTGTGTTGCAGGCGTTTGCTATTTGGTTTTTAGGGTACTTTGGCTGGTTGCTAGGTGGTTTTTTACTGAATAAAAGTCAAAATAACCCACTCCCAAGTGGGAGCTATTGGATTATTTAATGTGGAAAAATACAACACCTCTCCTCAATAAAACATGAGTTATGCACAGAACATTTATACTTATGGCTAGGGGTTTTGCATTAGCTGTAGCATCACATTGTTATGGAAGCTTATTTTGGCCAAGAAATAAAAATATTTAAAAAAAAGATTACGACTTTTTATCTCACAATTCTTTTTCTTGCAATTTTGACTTCTTTTCTCAGAATTGCGTATTTATATCTCAGAAAAGCACGTTTATATCACACAATTGCAAGTTATAAACTCATTTACATCTTGCAATTGTGACTTTTCTCAGAATTAAAAGTTCACTTCGTGCAATTGTGATGTTTTTCTCTCAGAATTCCGAGATGACATCTCACAGTTTGGACTTTTCCCCCCCAAGAATTCAAGTTCACATCTCACAATTGTGACTTTTCTCAGAATTAATAAATGCAACTGCATGATATTAACTTGCAATTATTAAGAAAAAGTCAGAAATGTAAGCTACAAACTTGCAATTGCAAGAAAAAAAAAATCACTAAATCATTAAGAGAATAAGGATTTAGTGTCTTTTGCATGTCTCACCTGAAACCAGCGGTATCCTTCCTGCCAGGCAATATGCAGATAAGAGATGAGGAAGGAGGCAACCACGTGTCTCATGTAGTTGTTCATCCAGCCAGTTTGCCACAGCTGTCTCATTGCCGCATCTACCAGTGGGTATCCTGTGTATCCACGCTGCCATGCCTTCAGATGGACACGGTCTGAACTCCAGCGCAAAGCCTGCTCATGGATAACAATAATCACATAACTAAATATATACATTTTCTGATGCCACCTAGATGCTAGGATGTTGTTGGTGGTTGCTTGGGCATTAACATCCGATTGCTAGGGGGTTCTATGAGGTTGCTTATTGGCCTAAATAAAAAGGGTAACCCAAACCATCAACTCTATGATGTCTCTCCATAGCTTGTCTAAGGGATTTTTTCACCCGTTTTATTATCCGACAGGCAAAAATTATAAATCTGATCAAGTAATATCACTTCTCTCTTCAACAAGTCACACGGTTTGAAACCAATATCCCATTCTGACTGCAATAAATTATATTGCCTAAATGATGTTGTACTTTCCATAAAAGCATATTAGGCGGGAATAACACAGCTAATAAAAAAAGGCCTAATATTACCTATTTTGATGATGCTGAGTTCAAATATATCAATAAAAAACTTTCCATTTCCATCGGTTTTTAATGCATCTATATTTTAATAAGTGTGCTTATCGTATAATTTCATTAACAATCTTCAAAGGAGTGGAAAAAGTTGAAATTATGATCAGGCATAAAATGATGTCTTCAGAATCCTTCATAAATGTGAAAATTGGCTAAGAATTGAACAAATAGTTATAACTTGGCTCAGAGGAAGACAGGAATCCTTGTGGCAGTTTTTCTGCTGATTAAGGGATAATACAAGACTTCTTACAAATGGTTGTCAAAAGCAAAAATGCTACAGAACGCATCCTATTTTGTGAGAAAGTGCTAGAGCAAAACAGGCAGTATTTTTGGTATGAGCACCCCAAAATTGGTAAGAAACCTGTATTATATTTCAGTCAGCAAATATGATGCAGGGCGGCATTATAAATATGAATCTTGCCTTGTACGGTGGTCTGAGGGACTCCCAGGGCAGGTCTGGGAAAAGGCACAGCTGCCAGTACGCCAGGTCCCTCCAGGCCAGTTTGCGCTGGAATTTGGGAGATCTGCAGCGAGCTCCACGGGCATCCCGTAATAGGCTGCGTGCACTCAGCTGCCCAAAGTGCAGATATGGAGATAGAGAGCTGGTGTTGGGCTCATCCGCACGACTTGACTCCTTCTCATAACGGTACACACCTACAATGAAGTCAACTGATGAGCGCAAAATGATGGATTGACTTGTAATGCTGCTATATTAAAATACGTGCCCTTGAAATATGTCTTACCATCTCGCAGGAAGGCCTCAAGATGAGCCTGAGCTCCTTCCTCACTGAAGTCCCATGATTTCCGAATGTTCACAGCCCAATCAATCTGTCAATATCACATCACAAAAGCACTTTAATCATTCAAAATGACAACTTGGATCCAACTGCACTACTTTTCCATTGCTTTTTGACATAAACTTGCTAGAAGGTAGTCTTTGACTGCTGTGATTACAACCTTGCATCTTTTGCGGTGCCTTGCACATGACACAGGGGCAGGACACAGGGGCAAAACGCAGCGCTCAAGTTCAAATAAGTTCAACTTTTAAAAATGTGTCTCAAGACAGTTTTTTTTTTTTTTTAATTCCACTGCCTGCAACTGAAAAATACGCTCTGTGTGAATGGCACCTTAAGTTACATAAAGAGAGATCTTTCTGATATGTAGATAATAATAAAATAAATGAATCATAGTAAATTCAAATTATTATCCAAAGGATTTTTTACATGACAAATGTGATACACATTTAAAAATCTATATAAATTCTTTATTTTAAAACATGAACAATATAAACATAGTAATAATAACAATCATAATAATAAGCATAAAAACTTAATAAAAATAGCTAAATGAATTACCTAAGATTATTAACATTAATCCCCAAAATTGTTATTTTCATAAATTGCAACAATAAGTACCTCAAATTTAAAATATTAATTATTTATTATAATTAACTAAAACATTTTTGCTTGAATTAAAATAAATATTAACTTAAATAAAATAATAAAATAAAAAAGATATATTTTTATTTCAGCTAGTTGCCAAAGCAACATTTCCCATTGTAATTTAGTTTAATGTTTTAAAATAACTAAAACTTAAATAAAACTTTTAAAAACCTATATAGACACATAAAAAAAACTAAAACTACTAAAAATGGCAAAAACACTTGCTAAAGATTTTACTAAAATCTTTTAATTACTGCATTTTTTTTTAAAATAAATAAAACTGATTCAAAATATTAATAAAAACTATAATAGTATCACACTAACTTGTATGACAGAAATAAGATGAACACAACTGTTGTTAGTGTTGGTTTGAATATTGCACCTCTGTGCCATCTTTCCTGCGTGGCATGCGTGCCAGTCCCAGATCAACAAGTGGGCATCCCTGCGGCCATGCTGAGGGAGCAGGCAGGGCAGCGGGGGCATCCAGCGGAGAGGTCAGTCCACTGCCAGGATTCTGCTGGCAACAACTCATGAAGTGAGAGACAGAGCCGATACCTGCAAATAATATAGAAACCTTTAAGAAATTAGCATTTTAGAAGTTTGTGGTGGTGTTTGCCCATGC